TATATATATATATAGCATAGCCAGTAGTTTTCAAAGCATCTGCATTCTAAATGGTCAAACTGCATGTTTCTGACTACCTCCCCCCAGGGCTCTGTCCAGCGGATCTAAGCCCAGGCGCTGGTTAAGCTGAAGGTTTTTAAAAATACTCTGAAATTGTGCAGATCCGCTGACTTACATTATGTATTCTGGTTGTGGAACACAATTACCTCTTTATTGCAATTATACATGAGGAAAGGGCAGATCTTAAGTCTGTGTCCTTCTGTCTGTCATTAAATGAACCTGAGCGCTTTCAGGGAGGTGAACACATGCGCTGCCGCCCCCATCAGCAGACAGACAGCAGTGCAAAAATAACCATGTTAGGGGAGGATTCCCAAATGGCCGGTCTGTCAAGCTGAATCAAGCAAGTCAGTTTTTTGGGGGGTGGGTTTTCTATGCAATTAAACGCACCACCGTCCGTCTCTATGTCATCAGACAGATAGAGATGTGAACATTGCCTCCAACATGGAGAAAAGATGGAAAAATAAAGAAGTGGGCATAATAAGCAAAGAGCAAAAAAAAAAAAAAAAAAAAAAAAAAAATAAGAAAGAAAAGTAGCATGGAATGAAACCAAATGCCCCCTGGACTCCACCCATAATTAATGCTGGTGAGAACCCTACACACAGACTTTTCTGCAGCAGTGGCCACTGATTAATAGCAGTTTGCTGTTTTTCCCTTCCTTCCTTCTTTTTTATGTGTTCATGATACCGTCGGCTCCCATCGCTCAAGAGTTTAATAACAACACGGTATTCACTAATCCACTTTATGTATTTTTCTTTTTTTAAAGGAAGCTTAATTGAACACTTCCAGTGACAGTCAGAGCCGTTATTTCTGTTGCAGTGTTCTACTGTGTGACGGCTATATGCTCCTTCTGCCCATGCAGGTAGCTTTGCTGTCCGGATCGCTTACACAGAAGTCTGATGGAAGTCACATTTAATTAGCAGGAATGTTGAAACATTGAAAAAATATATATATAAATTACAGAAAGAAAAAACAACTGAGCACCAAGGCCTAATGAAGAGGATAATGAGCCACACAGACCAAACAGAAAACCATTCAAATGTTTATGTAAAAAAAAAAAAAGAAACCTTTGTAAGGACAGTTTAAGTGATGTAATATGCTTATAGTTTCTAGAGGTTTAAGAATATCTTTATACTTGTTATAAATCCGAAACCATGCCTGATTAGAGAAAAGAAAATGCACATGTAGGATTCAGAATTTAACTAGATTTTATAATAACCTAATTCAACCAATAAAACACAAACTCAACTGATCAGACTTTCTCCTAAACCACACAAACTACAGTGAAATAGCTAAATATATAGTCCATATAGAAAAAAACTATTAAAATAAAAAATAAATCCTGTTGTGCTGGACATTGAGTTGATTAACCTCAACCATCCCTTTTATACACAAAGTGTTAAACCATGCAGAGATGGTTAACTCTGGCTGTGTAAAAAAAAAAAAAAATAAATAAGAAATGAGAGAAAGATGTCCAGCAGATAACAGGAGGGCTCCCGTTTTTTCTTCTTAAGCTAAAACATCTGTAAGGTTAGTTATATCAGCCACCAAAATAAGATGTTCCTTGAAGTTTAAAATCTCTGCAAGCAGTTAATTTACTGTTAAATGAGTAAAACCCAGTTTTAAAGTGGCTGTTTTCTCACATAACAGGCTAGAAGTCACTACTGCTCTTCATAAATTATAAACTTTCTGCTCATGGCAGAAAGGCAAAAACCATGTTTTCAGATATGTTCCTATGTTGGAATTTCTAGAGAGAGAGATGCGATAGTCTAAAATGGATTATGGTAACCTAAACTTAATAGAAAACACTAAATAACAAATGTTGCATGGCCCAGGCTGTACAAGTGGGAACATTTATGGACATGGCAAAAAAAAAAAAATCTCTGCCAAGTGAAACATTTTCACCTCAGGCGTGTTTTAACACTGAAGCTAGAAATTCATGTGATCGAATCAGCTTTCTTCTAACTTTGTTAGGCAAACTTTTTTAACACGTTTTAAACATTCTCGCCAGCTGTGGAGCATGGCACTGGAAATGTAATTCAAAGGCCAACAGCTTGCTGTTATTGATTTAACTGTGAACATCCCAACATGTGACCGCTTGAAAAACAAGCTGGGGACGTCGGTTTTAAAAGGTGAGGCTGTTCTTAGATAACCCCCATGTCCGGACAAAGTAGTTTGGAGTAAAATGCAAAATGTACATTGCCGGAAGGTGTCAAAGCAGATAAGGGGCATCAAATCAATGCCTTCTAGATATATTTTCCGATTTATTCAAGGACATGCGTTGGGTAACATCACTAAATAATACCTGGGTTTAGCTTGTTAATAAATATAGCCGTTTTCCACCAACCCAAAAAAAAAATATAAAAAAAAGGTTTCCTGAAGCTGCATCATATATATATATATATATATATTAGGGATGGGACGATTTATGAAAACCATTCGAACCGTTCCTGAGCCTCCACTGTGGCTCCCGTCCGCTCCCCTCTGAGTCCCTTGGAGATGGTAGAGAGCATGCGCGAGATGATTAAATTCAAAGCAGCAAAACATACAGAAATGATTCAGGGTTTCCGCGGATCATTTAAAATCATTACAATCCATTATTTTTTGGGGGATTTTTTCATTAATTTCATAAATTTTTATGGGATTTCGGTGTAACAATCAACATATACCGAATCAAACCGAACCGAAAACCGTGACCACGAAACCGTGAATCGAACCGAACCGTGGATTTTGTGAACTGTTCCACCCCTAATATATATATATATATATATATATATATATATATATATTGAACATGTAGAACTTGAGCACTATACCACAATCTATCTGGTGACTTCAGCAAGAAATCAGAGGAGGAGATACATGCTTTACTAAGACTTCTTCTTCTGATTGGCTAAAACTATTAGTTTTATAGCGCTCCTTTGCTACCATTGGCTGACAAACGCAAAAGGGATTCCGATTGTCTTTTTTATTATTTTATTTACAGTAAATTTATTTTTGAGGGATTTTTATTTTCCCACAGGCAATCGCTATGTGCCAGAAATCCGGAAACTTTAATCCCTGCTTTCATTTTCCCAGGTCAGGAAAGATCAGACAGCAAAACTCATTAAAATTATTCAGAGGTGCATGAGTCAAACAAAATTCCACTTTGTGGAAGATTTTTAAAAAAAGACGAATTATTTGGCTGAATCAAAAGCTCAAAAGGTTGACTTTGCATTCCATAGGCACTTTAAATAACTTTATTACCAATCAGAGATGCTTGAATTTAATTTAAAGCAGAATCCAACAATTATAATGAGCAGCTAAGTTGATCAAAGTTGTTCATGTCTTACCCAATCCTGGGATCATCAGGTTTTCTCATCTCGATAGTATGCAGGGGCCCATTAAGGTTTACAACATACAGGGTGATGACCGGGTTCTCTTCACCAGCCTGAAGAGGATAAAACAAAACATGAAAATCTAAAATATGTGGCCTGGTTTAGCTTTATAGTTAAAAGCAGTATGGGTACCTTAGGGTATGGATACTCCTTTCCCACTGGGTACGGTGATCCAGTGAACATTGGCAGCTCCATCTTAGGCACGAGAGTGTCATTGATGGTGGCATAGGCTAACCTGGCTCCATCAGGGGACCACCAGTGGGCGATGTGTGAGTGGAAGATCTCCTCTGGGAGAATGAAAGAAAAAAGTCTATCAGTCAAAATGACAGAGACACATTGGTCGTTTATTGATGTATCTGCTAAACATCTAGTCATTCTGTAGGAAGACGTGTCCAAATAGGTAAGATTATCGGCAGACACTTCTGTTGTGTTCTTAATTTGTTGGACCTGATGTGAAATTCAAAGAATTATATATATATTTTTTTTATTTTAAAGAGGAATGGATTAGCATATAGTGAAGAGAAAGAAATCTTTTTTTTTATTGGTCATTCTGTCATTGATGCAAAATATGTATTTGAACAAACTCAAGGTGGACTGCAGGTAACGCCACTTAGACCTTTTTGTGTCTATTTAACTGATCTTCTCAGAGGGATTGCTTACTAATCATGCTTGAATTAAAAAAGGGCTTTGAGTCGATGGTGAATAAGCAGAACCAGTACAAGCAAACCTAGAGGGATATATGTAGCCCTTAGATTGGTCGTGTATAATTAATGAGCTAATTCATTTAAAGTGAGAAACATCTTGGACCCATCTGGATCCCACTGCTCCTCAGGGCTTTACTCTTGGGCCACTTTTATTTAAACTATACAGTATTACACTAATTATAATAACTCTGTTAATGAGACACAACTTTAAATAATTTATTATTATTATTTATTCACATTCTCTGACAGTGACAGAGTGGTCACAATATCGTTAATTCAACAGGTCAACATTTCCATCAGTTTCATGCAGAAAAACACCATAGTGAATATCTTTGGTTTAATGACTGTCATCAATGACATTTTTAAGTCAGTTTTTAATAAAGTCCAAATGTCACAACAGACAAAAGGCAATGTGAGCAGACATATTAGAAATCTGTCAGTACAGATACTCTATTCCAGGTCTAAAAAGGGCATCTAAAAAGAAAAAAAAGCCTTATCTGGTTAAACTGTTGAAAACTGACAACAAATAAAAAATCTCTCCTGCTACCCTTTTCTTTCAGTACATTTCCCTGACTGACACCGTCCGTTTAATCTTAGTACGTCTCTCTAAAACCTACACACTGCAGCACATAGCACCGTTTGCTTAGGTCATAAATCACAGCAGCTTTTAATCTCCACGCACCCTGTTGACCGAACACACAACTCTGCTACGTTCCTCGAAATGAACCAAAGAGTTACTTCTCTCCCGGTGCAACAAAAGCACAGATAGGTTTTTGGCTTGTTACTTGCTGTGTAGAGAAGAGCTCCTTTTGGCTGAACTGACTTGAAACAATGTGTGATTACAGCAGTTTAGATGCTTCCCTCTGTTCTGCAAAACCACAGACAGATGGTGATTATTTTAACTGATAATGCAACTAAAGCTAACAGGTGAAACTTTATGTACAGCATAAACTAAGGCGATTGCAATCCTCCTTTCTTGATTTTTTGGCTCTAAAGTTAGTTTGCCTGCTGTTTACAAATAGCTCAACCTTGGCCAGATTTAATGTGGGGCAAATGTGAACATTTAAAGTGTCTTGCAGATTTTCAGCAAGCTTAACTTCCATGCTTTGACTGGTCCACTCAAACACCTGGAGATGAAATGAGCTCCAGTGCTTAGGTCCAGCTTCGTGTAACCTGGTTTCTATCCAGTTATAAAATGAACCCTCACCTCAATGCCAATTGCCTTACATTTAGCAGGAACATTTGCAAATCCTGTTTAAAACACAAAACAAAAATATAAAAAAAAAAAACCTATTGTTCAGCACAAACAGCATACTGACCACACCGCACTATATGAGGAAGTGAAAATCACAGCAGTTTACACCTTTTCCAAAGCTTTTTCCTGCTGTTGAAGAACCACATTAATTTTATTCCAGGAGTTTTCCCACAACCTGTTGATAGTGGTGATATTTATGAGCTAAATCGCAGGATGTCTCAAGATGTTTACTTTTCCGAATCCTCGCCAGCAGGCACTGCTGGTCGCTCCCCCTGTTTTCCATGCAGACCTGTCTGCGTAGTAAAAACATCTTCCTAGGTTCATCACCCAAAGAGTGGTGTAAGCCTTAAATTACATACTTTTGCCGCACAAACCAAGCTTAATGCTTCAAAGAGCAGAGATATTTGCACAGAAATTAAATAACACAGAGAAGGGCAGATGCAACTGGTTTCAATTGACCATCAAGGGTTATGAAAGGAAAGGGGAGTGAATAGAAATTCATTCACATACTAAGTGCTATTTCATCCTCTGACGTGGGAGCTGGCTAAGAGTTCATATGCCTGGCTGTGGTTTTCCTTAAGGGGCCGCCTGTGGGGCTGGTTTACAGTTGCCTTTTGTATCTCTGCTTCTTCCTGTATCCCTGCTTCTATCTCCGCTCACACTCAGCCTGGTTCTGCTGCAGGTTTTTTCCTGTTAAAAGGGAGTTTTTCCTCTCCACTCTCGCTACAAGTATGCTTAGTGTGAGGGATTGCCTTTGAGTCAGTGAGTCAATGCAATCAGCTGGTTTTCCTTAGATGGAAAACTCTGAACTCATCTGACTGTATGATCTGGTTGATTTGTCTCTTTAAAGTGCCTTAAGATGACATGTTTTCTGAATTGGCGCTATATAATAAACTGTTACAGTTTCAGACTTTTGTTTCTTGTGAAAACCACCTTCCCTCCACTTCACATTTAAAACTGCTGTTGGAGCTATTTATTCGTTATTTCTTTATCCATTTGAATTGTGTTAATTCCTAAACTTATATATTTTTTGTATTATTTACAGACTTTATTTATAGGTTAATTGCTGAATTTTGTGTATTTATTTTTTGTTGTTATCATTTTTTCTTTATTTATTTTATGTAAAACAGGAAGAAATGTGGGCTGTCCACTTTCTATAACTGTAGGAGCCTGGTACTGTAAGGACCAGCAGGCATTTGGGTTAGGAACCTATGGGTTTTTACCAGTGCAAGAGAGGTGACAGACCAAGGAATGTTTGAACTCTGTAATGTTGCAAGAAATATAGGAAATAAATCAACTGAACATCTACAAGTTTGGACATCAACTTCTTTTGCCTGCGTCAAGAAAACGTGACCCCAGTGCCTTATAGTGGCTTATTGGAACTTTATTGGATGTTTGGTTTGACAAACAATCGCCACTACAACTGCTCTGTGCTGGTTTATCACATAACATAGCACAAACAAAAAGTTTGTTTTCAATGTGACAAAATTAAGTACAGGTATCGAGTAAATTAACATGTTTATACGGGAACTGTATACAAAAAAAATCTCCCTCTGCGCACTGTAAAAATAATTAAAACATCAGCCGTTCAGGGTGAGGAGAAGGAATGAGGCTGTTGGTTGAAAAAAGCCCAGTGAGTCCAAGTGTACCTGCAGGCAGAGCTCAGCAGGACCTAATTGCATCTTACTTCCTGATAACGTGCAGAACAGTGAAGCAAAACACAAAACAGAGCTATACTACTTTTGGAAATAAATATATATATATATGTACATCTTTTTCCCCCCTGCATTGCCGTCTCCCCCTGCGGCAGCTTTAAAGACCATTTTGTGTGGAGTGGAACCAGCAGGCCGACGAATTTACTCAGCTGGCAGGAGCCCAGTCACCTTGGTTAGTCAAGGAGAACACCGTTACCTTCCTCAAAGCATTCTGATTTCTGTGAGGAGACGAAAAGGAGAGAGAGAAGGTAGCGGTGGGAGAAACACTTTTAATGAGCTAACTCTCATTTTCCCTCTTAAGTAATGGGGCTGTCTTGTTTTTTTCAGAGCTGCCTCATTGAGACGATCACCAAGGTGAGCTCATCTCCTTTTTACTTGCTCTCTGCCTTGCCGTGCAGACTACATTATGCACTGAGTGGAGCGCATTATTAATGCATGAGCTACAATGAGTTGAGTGGCCAGTGGGAAATAATGAGTGCAAGGTGACAGGCTGGAGCAGAATGAGCTGATGAGATCAGGAAAATCAAACGTTCCATCAACAACTAATGCTAAAGTTTGCCCTGAACATATTTAGTATCTTGTTACAATAAGCAAACTTGAAATGTTAATTATAGACATGAATGTGGCCAACAGGGGGCAGCAGTGCAGCACAGAAATATTAATTCTATATTTCTATAATCAAAGCAGAGCCTTTTGTTCTGATGTTTTACTTCTTGGCCTCCATCAGCTGCATCAGTCCTGCAGTAAACATCTGGCAATGATGCAAATTGATTGTGAAACACAATTAAATTCCGTTACATGACAGCAGAGAGGTAGCTTTAAGGCTGCCTTAATGATGTGCAAATTAATTAGAGGGCATGTCAGAGAGAGATCCCTGTCACTGGATTCATCTCAGCCTTTAAACAGAACACTTCAGCATTTAATTGAAACTTTAGCAACCATAAGAATGATCTCCCACTTAAACTGTGCCGTGAAAAATTATTTACCCCTTACAGATGTATTTTGTTCAGCCTGTTGAAACGTTTTACACCATCAAAAAATACACAAATGCCAAAAAATAATACAAAAACATTTTTAAGTGACAACCACCTGACATTTGTAAACCATCTAAAGATTGTTTCACAGATTCAGTAACCCCAGGATGTTAATCTTTTCTGTAGTTCTTAATCAGCGAGATCTGACGATTATTGTTACCTCCTTCATCGCCTCACTCCTCTTGGTTGTAACTTACACATAGGTGTCTTTTCATTTTTTGAATAAGTGCAGATGTAGACTAGTTAAGATGATTTCCTAGAGCCATTTTCTGCTTTACAAATAACAAACCACACCTGCTTTTGATAATTAGAAAGTTTCTTCTATGTCCCATTTTGAAGAGTGGCCAGAGGACTCAAAGGCTGGTTAGACTCCCCGTGGCAATGTGTCGCAGTGAGCTTGACGCAGACTTTTTTGATTTATGTTAGATTTTGAAGCTTGGTTTGCGTTACGTTCCACGCCAGAATGCAAGAGGTACAATCATGAACTAGCTGTGGGTCTAGATACAGCTAGAGGTGAGGAAGTGGGGGTCCCAGTGTTCTCACACACCTCGCTCTTCTAGCCGGTCCAACTTCGTGAGT